AATACATTGTTCTACTTCTCCTTTAATCCCCGCCAAATGTTGCTTGAATCTATTGATACCACCTCCCTTAATTACCTTGTGGCAATACATGCAAATCAAATTCTTTCCTCTTTTTGAAGACACAGAGTCTTCCTGACAATGTGCCCATGCGGGGTCGGTCTTTCCTCTTACTGCAACTTTTGTAGAAGAAGAATTTGGTGTAGCGCTAGTTGGTGTAGAGCTAGTTGGTGTAGATTGAGATTCAATTGGTGTTCCGGATGAAGACATTCTAATATGACACCGAAAATCAAAAAGCCATAAGTAATTAAACCCCACAACACAACATATGACATAGAATAGAAGTGATAGAACACTCGTGTACTTAAATATATAATAACTTGTAAATTGTAGAAATCTCACTTTAGTGATAAATATTAAGTATAAAAGTTAGAGTTGAATTTAAAGTAGGGACAAGAGCTACACTCATAATTGGGACAACATTTTACTGATTTGAGTTGTGCTCACAAAGTCCATAACTTTCACAATTCTCTTGTACAAAGCTAAAAGAAAAGAGAATATTTTGACGGGAAACATTTCTATAAAAGTTCCCAACTAGAACTAGTCCAATGATCATAGGTTTTACAACCATTATAATACATAAAAAAAATGAAATTACTATATATAGTATATACCCTATCCTATAATAGTGTAATGCAAAACATAAAACTCATCGACTCCTCTGCAAAATCATAAACACATGAACATCCGTCATTCCATTGATCAAAGAATCTAATTGCAAAATAAAAAACCCAAATTACAAGCTTGTATATACAATTTGAGGAATTGGACCTAAGAAATTTATTTAAGAAATTGAATATAAAGTTATAAACTCTGTTAAACACATCCCATTACATTAAAAATACACCCCCAAACAACTTTATTATCCACATTCTCAGTGGACTCAGGCCTCAATCAACAAACGTAAGCCAAAGAATAACAAACGTAAGCCAGATATTAGTATTATTCTAAAACGCACTGCCCAACATTATTATTATCAGACAAAGAACTCTGCATAAACAACAAAGCCACAGAAGGATTGAAAATGTCATTAATATTTTCAAAACCCAAGATGTCCCGATAATACTATGTTCATTAAATGAAACCTGTAGAGGAATAAGGTAGCTTTCATACGTTATATTACAAATGAAAAGCATGTTATTTCTCACTTTGGCAAGCTTGAGATTGACAAGGTCAATTAAGCTATTTGCAACAAAAACATGCTGGCTTATAATTTAATGGTAAATGTAGACTTTTCTGCAAAACAAGATCAACCACATAGCTGATTTGACATTAATATTCTGGACTGAAGGTTGGAAGCACTTTATCATGTAATTCTGAAAATAAGGAGAATAAATTAACTAACCCACTTCCAGGATTCCAGAAGGGATATGACTGGGGAATGGTTGTTGAGAAAGTGGAAGAGAACAAATTGAGAAAATCTGGTGTGTACTGGGATAAATAATACGATTCACAGTTGCAAAAATTCCTAGCTAAATATTGTGTAGTGTAAGATCTCCAATTTTCTCCATCTTTTCTTAAAAAATTACTTAAGATATACAGTGTAAAAAGATAAATGACTAAACGATCAAAAAACAACCTGCTACATTGTTGACAGAGAAGAGAAAAAAATGATGGAGAGAGGTTGAAGATGAGATGCTCACCGGAGTGGACTGCCTGTTGGTGCCTGGATTGGTTGATCGTGAGCGCTGGACTGGCTGATCGCGAACGCTGGCGTTCAGGGCTGATCGCGAACGCCTGGAGCTTGGAGGGGAGGTTGTGGATCTGATTTGTTGGTGGCGTGGTGGAGGGGTGGTGGAGGGAAGGTTGTGTGTGGTGGAACCGTGGAGGGGAGGCTAGAGCTTGGAAGGCTGGAATGGAATGGAACGATTGATTTAGGGCAGCAAAAGGGGAAAACATAAATGGAGAAGGTAAAAATTCTGATATTTATAGAATTTAAATATAACTGTCCGATTTTTGTAAACTCGGCCGGTTCTCACGGTTTACCGGTTTTCTGACCGGTTTCACGGGTTAACCCCGGATTCTGTACTGAAACGATTTTTAATTCAAACCGACCCGGTTAGGAGACCGGTTCACCGGGTTGACCCGCCGGGCCGGGCCGGATTTTAAAACACTGTTCTGTTGTTACTTTTCAGCAATGCCATCTTGTTTTAATCACGACCAAAAACGGTGACACAAAAAAATTGAATTCTAGGCTCGGGTTATAAATTGTAATAAAAATTTTATCAAATTCTAAATTCATATACGATAGGTTTTAACACCACTTATAAAAAAATTTAATGATTCGTATATGAAATTTAAAACACCTAAATTACAAAATTTGGATCATATAAGTTTAGAACATACCTGTATGATCGATGATACTTGATCTCCAGATCTCTTTCGTGAAATGATAAGGCCTTCCTCTCATTCTTCAAAGTAATAGACGGCTCTCAATGAGATAAATTAAATTAGGATTATGAAATGGACAGGGAACCTAGGCTGCTATTTATAATAAAATTTAATGGGCTCTCTTATTATGACCCACAATTAGATTAAAACCTACACTTAACCACCTTAACCACATCAATTAAAAATATGTAAATAAGTCTATCAAAATAAATCACTTAATAATATTGGGCTCATCTTATTGGATCATAAATTCAGCATTTTTTTATAAACTAAAAATTAACTATCAATTAATGGAAGTCCAATATAAAAAAAACAAGTCTAACACAAAATTCTTTTAAAAGGAGAATGGTATGTTATGTACCTATTTTCTATATAGTTATTTTATTGGAGGATATGTAGTAGTAGGTTAGTGATAGAGTATTTTTTGGGTAGTTTTCTTGGTGGTTACTAAGATAGTGGAGTTATAAGTTAGATTAGTTAATAAGGCAGCTTTTATTAACTTGTATTTAAAAGCTTTTTTATCAATGAAAATGATATGTTAAATATTGTATTAAACTTTATTGTAGAAGTTTTGGAGATTTGATTTTTCTTGAATTGAACCATTAGAGGTTTTTCACCCCATTCGAAGTGAGTTTTCTTCCCCTATTCTATTTTTTCTTTCTTTGTATATTTTCTAAAAGTGCGCACCTAACAATTTGAGTTGTCTATTAACTGTTCGGACCAAATTTGGGGGCAAAAGGTTCCTTGGGTAGATGGATTCAATAGGTATTTTCACACCAGCCAGAATGTCTATCTCAAATATAATAGATGTCCAACGTAGGGGACAAGTAACGAGAGTATGTATAACACATGATTCAGACAATGAAAGCTGCCACAGGGGCTACCCACGACTGCCTCTGTACAAGGAGTCAACGTCGTACGTGACAGTGTGATTTACTTAATTGTGTTGATTGCTTTTGTATGACAGGGTACACGCTAAGTGTCAGGTGTCCAAAACATTAATTAGATAGACGTGCAATTTTCTTTGATATAATTGAGACTCGACCTTTGAGGAAGGGGTGCGTTCTCCTAGGCAGGGGGGTCGCAACCAGGTCACCACGACGTCATAGCTCTGAAGGAGTCATACCTATGGTCCACCAACTATATAGGTATTGTGACACCTACCTTACTTACTCGGAGATCCCTCCCAAGGCTTTCATCCACAGTGTCCAAATGAGAATACTCACATAATTTTGATTTTTCAATCACTAATCCACATGTCCAATCATTCTATATATCAATATGAATCATTAACCTCTTATTCCTTACGAGTTCCTCCAGATTTCAATCAATCACAACTCAATGGAGAGTGAGTCATATAGTAGGAAGCTCGCTCGAACAAACTATAACTTAACAACCTTGCATGGGGTCAAAGTTGACAATCATACTCGTTTGTCTCAATTGTGCAATTCTCCTCATATGAGGGTCATATTACCCCGTTCCAAGGTGGGGACCCCTATTATGGTTCTTTAAGCCAATTAAGCAATGGTCCACCACTAGTTGACTTCGTTGCTAAAGATATCTAATGGCTTATAGGTTTTATCTAAGAGGCCTTGTCCCGAGGGCACCTCAGGAGAACTCGTTAGGGATGTCATTCTTGCCAATTGTGGTGCCTTAGCCTTGTGTTTCCGCGCTATGCTATCATCACTATAACATGCAGAAGGAAAGTATGTATTTTTGCAGTAGTGACCTATTTATGTGGTCACAGAGTTATTTCTGAGGTGTCTGCTTAATCTAAGGACGGGCCCATGTTACCGTGTCACCCTCCAACGTTTTTTTAATTATGTCACATGTCACCTTGTGATTGGGACGTGTGTCATAATTATATTGGTCATTTACACAAAATAAATAAGTTATAGTCCGAAAATATATTCGGTAGACATTATTATTTTCAATAAATTAAATTTTATTTCGAAACAATCAAAACGCCAAGAATATTTATGTTTTCATAAAAATTAAGATGAATCATTGCTTGACTATCAAAGTTATGTTTCGGCATGTTTTGACAAAATAAATTTTAAATTTTTCTTTATTTTCATCTTGTTTTTCAAATATTATCAAAATATTTCTGTTTTTAACCTCATTAAAATTCTGCACCGAAACAAAATTTTAATCCTTAATTATTATATTTCAAAAGTGTATTCACATGCCCCGTCTATTTTGTATACCATAATTTTACGATTGTCTCATAAAAAAAGACCCCTTGTTAATATCTCCATCAAATGATTGTTTTTTATCGGTATTATTATTGTTATTGTTATTTATATAGCTTAATTGGAATTCGATAAAATTAAAAGGATTTTTCAATTTTCTTTAACAATTTTGTTTGTTTTGGCCAAATTGTAAATCGGGGGTAGAAATAGAATTTATTAAAAAAAAAAAGAGTAATGCTACGTGAACTTGTACTAGGGCATGGCGCGTTCAAGTACATATAATTTTAATTTTTAAATATAATTTATAAATCAGAATTGTTAAAAAAAAAAATTTCAAGGGAAGAGAGAAATTATAATTGGGCGTGGCGAGCTCTGAACCGCCATGCCCAAACCGCATTCAAGTAAATATTTGCGTATGCGACGAATCCAATTATAAGCATAGTTTGTTTCTCTGTCTCTACCGCCTTCCTTTGGTTCTCAATCATCTCCACTCTATATCAAGACTAGAGAGAGACTTTATCTACTCAAACTCTCTCTCTCTCTCTCTGCGATTTGAAGGGTTAGGGTTTCATCGCACCTCTAATCCTCAGGTAATTGATTACCTTTTTCAAGCTTTAATCCATTGAATCGCATTGCTTCAAATCCCTCACACGTGCACTATATTTGATGTCTTACCATCGATTTCTAGGGTTTTATTTTATTTTTTTTGTTCCATAGCTTGCTTCTAAGCAAGGCCGTTCTGCCGATTGTTCTATTTGGGATCATGATGACCATGCTATATGTATTTTGGCTATGCGTATACGCACACATCTATGTGTATGTTATTCGAAGATATGACTTTATACGGACTTTTTTTTTTAATTTTCATATGAGTATTTAACTCAGTCAGACGGTTGCAAATTAGGATCATGGTTCACTAACTGTACATATATTTTTATTTGTATGTTCTTGTATATCTGTTAGTACGTAGCACTGATATGTGGATGTGTGCCTTGTGGATTGTGTGGAAATTTTTCTCTAGGTATTGTTTCTGTTGATCATATTAATTTCAGATACTAGAGTGTCTGGCTTGTGGTTCACACACAAAAATCTTATATGCTTGTATGTATGTTCAACTTTATGTGCAGGAACCCAAACACAATTTGGTGGTTTGGAAACCTCACATATATAGATATATATCATGTAGGTGTTTATACCCATGTTTTCGGATTGTCACCGGTTTATGGATTTTTTTTATTTGAATACAATGCATAGGACCAAATAATTGTGTATGTAAACTATGGGTGTGCTTGGATACTTGGAGTGGATTTGATAGGATATCAAAAATATAACCTTTGCCTATCCAAGCCAAACCCGGTCAAGCTCATATCTGGATTGGATATGTATCCATGCCAATGTTTGGTAAACCAATTTTACATGTTTGTCGGATCCATTGACAAAGATGGTTGAAAAATATTGAAATGATATGTTTAGGCTATTATATCCCTTAACAAATCCATATGTTTGGATAAAAAATGGTTGAAATACATTTTTTTGCCAAAAACTCTTCGAACATATTTTTCTATTTTGGAAGTTGCAGACGCCATTCCTCTTACACCCGAAGCAAATTTTGTTTTTTCAATCTAAATTGTGCACTACTCTTGAACTTCCACAAATCAAGAATCATAATTAACCTTCCCTAATTCACTAATGAATTCCTAAATCTTTCTTCAAAACTTAAGCCAACAAATTTGTACTTAGATGCTTAGGGTCACCTGAGAGTTGAAACATGGTAGTTAAAAATATAATTCATTGATATGGATGCCTTCGACTCAACTGCACAATTTAAGGAAAAAAAAAGCAAAATCAGAAATTAGAAAAAATACTCTTGATGATTTTGGCCCAACTCGATTCAAATATATACACACATATATAAACTGTACTCATCAATCAGATGATTCAAGTTTTATTTCAAAGTTCACTGTTCAAATAAGAACAAGAACAATCCATATATATATTATTGCCTCTGAATCTTTGGGCTGAGACTAAACGAAGAAGTAAAACCCAATGAAAAGACCAATTGGGATTCCAAATCCAAAACCAAGGAGTCCCAGAAAAGTGTTCAAGAAACCCATGTGTCCTCAACCCCAAGAATCAATGTAGATCAATGAAGAACTATGGAAAGAGAAAAGAAAAGAGTTTGTTTTCAGGAGGACACTGGCGAGAGAGAAGAAAAACCAACACTCCCCAAATCCACCAGAACATCATCGAAGAAGAATAAATCAAAACAACCAACACTTCCCAAATCCACCACAGCCGGCAGCCCATCCCCACCCAAAAACCAAAATCAGATCCCACAACACCCCTCTGTTTCACCAGAACACCAGCATCACAGCCCACCCCTCCCCAACGCCTGCACACCAGTCGGAGAGAGGGGGTCCACCTTCGTTGCCCGGTTTGCTGGGTGTGAAACGGTGCTCGAAATTGAGATGTGTGATGAAGAGATGATAGATAAGGTAGAGCTTCACTTCAAAACAAAAAAAAGGGTAAAGTTGTCATTGCCTACCCATATCCTGTCGGCTGGGATTTAAACCCAAGGTGGAGCTGGGTTAATTTTAACCCATCTATGAGGGTTAAATTGCATTATAACATCCGGGTCAAGGTTTGACCCGGGATTTATATCCGGACTCAATTTTAACTTCCCATACAAAAGATTTATGGGGCCCACTGAATTGTTAATCTATCTTTATGAGTGTTAACCCACTTTATCCCACTACCCAAACACACCCTAACCTGTTGTGTATGCATAGAAGAAATATTCCGAAAGGGCCTGAAATTAAGTGATGCTCTGAGTTGTTCATGTTATTCAATTCAATATGGCTACAGCATGATTTTCTGCACTTTGACTTATTGAAGGTGTCTGTACTATGAACTCGAGTTTGGCATTGTTTTGTGATTCAGTTACTGTATGTACAGATTATAGCTCGAGGAACAGATTTTTAGTGGAGATGACGATGAGCCAGATGAAGACCATAGAGTTGGAGGAGGGATGGGAATTCATGCAAAAGGGAATCACAAAACTAAAAACAATTTTGGAAGGGCATCCAGAGCCGCAATTCAGCTCAGAGGAGTACATGATGCTCTATACGTATCCTGTGTCATACTGTTTTTAGTTTGAAAAATGTGCTTCCATTTAATTTCTTTTTTTCTTCCTTTTGTTTTTTCCGTGTCTTCTGTGGGTTTTTTTTATGGAGTTTCCTCTTCTTTTCACTACAGTATGTGAATGGCAAGAGAAAAATTGTTTATCACTTTGTTTTTCTCTTTACCTTAATTCAGTACCATCTATAACATGTGCACTCAGAAACCTCCTCATGATTATTCTCAGCAGCTTTATGAACAATACAAGGAATCATTTGATGACTACATCCATTCATTGGTGAGGAACGGTGGTTAATAAGTATTCATATTTTTGCTATTTTTTATGCAGTTAGAGGAGGATATGCATGTTTGTGTGTGTATACGCATTGCTTCAACAGACATACAAAGAGGAAATTAATGAAATACCGTATATAGTTATGGGAAAGTTTTTCCATGAAATATGATGGAATTTGTGAGGCAGTGGATTGATGTTTAGAAGGACATATTGTAGGTACTTTTAAATTGATCCCGAGTACATAAGGGCATCATTCTTAAGCTTCGATTTGAAAGACCGCGGATTATATATTAAAATTTCGCGGTTCAACCCTTGGATATTCATTTATTTCTGTAACAACCATTTATGCTTTCCATTGTGACTGGTATGATCAATGGTGCTCTTTTATGGCATGTCATACAATCATTTAATCAGGTTAATACTGCTGTACTGCACCCTGTTTTCTTCCCTCACAATGGTTGTAGAGTTGATTCTGCTGCTGCCTTGCAAGGACAATAGAGACCACAGAGATATTTTCTTGGTCATGGCATAGATTTTCTTTGAACAGTTGTTAATATATATGCGTGTGTGTAGTGCTCTTTGGGTTTTGTTCTGGAATTCAATAAATCTTCACTTTTGGTCTCCTATTTGTATTGAGCCTCTCTTATTTCTGCATCATTTTCTTCTATTTGTATTGAGCCTCATAGATGGAAGTATTTCATGCATCGTTTCTTATTTGCTACAGATATGACAATCTCGTTTTCCATCAGGTATTGCCATCGTTAAGAGAGAAGCATGACGAGTTTATGTTGAGGGAACTTGTGAAAAGATGGGCAAATCATAAAGTTATGGTTAGGTGGCTTTCACGATTTTTCCATTATCTTGATCGCTATTTCATCGCTCGAAGGTCACTTCCTGCACTTAATGAAGTCGGACTCACATGCTTCCGCGATCTGGTTTGTACCATTAGTTTTTGTGAAAAATCAGTGGATTTCGAAATGCAGTGGCAAGCGATGTTTAGCTCAATTGTTTTTTCGGTACTAATCATTGTTTTATTGCTTTTCAGGTATACCAGGAGTTGAACAATAAAGTCAGAGATGCTGTTATCACTCTGGTGTGTGTAATGCTTGTTTCATCTGCTAATTTTTTTTTCCTTTTTAAGAATTGAGGTGGTCAGGATAAAGACAATTGTTGACCAGATTGATCAAGAACGCGAGGGAGAGCAGATTGACAGAGCTTTGCTGAAGAATGTCCTAGATATATTCGTTGAAATTGGAATGGGACAAATGGACTGCTATGAAAATGACTTTGAGGAATACATGCTTAAAGGCTCTGCTGCTTATTATTCACGAAAAGCATCAAATTGGATTGTGGAAGATTCTTGTCCAGATTACTTGTTGAAGGTAAATTTTGTCTATACTTCCTTCATATGAGCCAATGTAATGCTCAGCTTGACTCTAAAATCCATTTGGAAACTAGGCTGAAGAATGCTTGAAAAAGGAGAAGGATAGAGTATCTCATTATTTGCACTCAAGCAGTGAGACAAAGCTTTTAGAGGTAAGTTCCATTGTCTCTTCAGATTTTTTAAATTTTTAGAATTTTTGGGATTCTAGAGTAAGGTTACTGGCAGGTGAGATAAATATCACTGTTGTATGCAATACTATACATGTAATAATTAGTAAATGAAGTGTTGTACTTTATATGTTGATTTGGAAGGTTTAGCATATGAACTTTTTGGTGTAAATTATTTGGTTTGAAGAAAACTGCCAGCAGTTTAAGTAGGTAACTGCCACTCCCTTTTTTATGGTTGAGTGTTGCTTTCTCTTTTTAAATTTGGTAGAAATTGTGGCATACATGATGTGTGTGCAAAATGTACTCACTAGTAATAATTGGGTTCTTATAATTTTCTGATATTGTTTTCTTGATGAGATTTTATCTCAAATCTGAAGGGTAGAGAGAGTAGATGAGAGAGTGGCCTTTAAGATGGGTCATTAAATATGTGTATGAGAGAGAGCCAAGTGACAAATGAGAATCTGGAGTTGGTGGACCTGAGGGAGTGAGACACCAAGAAGACACACTGCTCTCTATATGTAGTGATGGATAACAAACTTCGTCTGAAGATTTACAGTATGAAAACAAGGTCCTAAAAGTTGTAATTTTTGTATATATCTTATTGTATTATTTTTTCTGTAGAGAGTGCAAAGTGAGTTGTTGGTAGTATATACCAGTCAATTGCTTGAAAAGGAGCATTCTGGATGCCGTGCATTGCTGAGAGATGATAAGGTATCTGTTGCATTCACTTGTTATTTAGAGAAATTGTGGGTTGTTAATGAGCATTTGTGAATAGAAACAAATATCACAAGTATCCTGATTATTTTTGTTACTTCATCTCAGGTTGAGGATCTCTCTCGCATGTATAGGCTCTTTGTTAAGATTCCTAAAGGATTGGATCCGGTTGCTAATATATTCAAACAGGTCCATTTACTTTCTGCTTATAGTACTTGCCAAGCAAAAGGAGCTTCTCTGAAATAGTTTGTTTTGTATTTTTAACACTTTCTGTCAATTCCTTGGCACAGCATGTTACTACTGAAGGGACATCCTTGGTCCAACAGGCAGAAGATGCAGCAAGTAATAGGGTCGGTGTTATCCTGATTTGTCTTACAAATGTTATCCTGATATGTCTTTCTTTGTCCTGTAAATTCTGCTGTCTATACATGGTTACAGGATGAAGAACCATCATATTATGTGCCTGTCGTTGAATAAAGAGGATGATTGTATTCAGTCTTTCAAGTTCTTATGAGAACAAAATTACCATTGATCCATACAAAGACAGACAGGCAGACTATCCTGACTATTTTCAGTCTGAGCTTATTATTGATCTTTTGGTTCCTAGTTTGGCAATAGATTCCCTCGAATTAGTTTGGTTGGTGAGAGGGCTTGGCTGAGTGTGTAGTTGCTTTTGGATGGAAGATTGGTGATCAAGTCTTGTTGAGGCACTTTAAGTTGGTGGAAGTAAATCTTGAGCAACCCCCCCCCCCCCCTTCTTTCTCCAAAAGAAAAAAAAAAAAGAATAAAAACAGTAATACATAGTAAAGGCCGATTAGATTAATTAATTGCAAGTGAAGAGATATGGGAGTCAAATATCTTGAATCACAAACATGTAAAAGGATTGGTGATCACTGTCCACTGGAGTTGGATTAGGGAAGATTAGGGGAAAGATTGGAGTTACGAGATTCCATCTAGCTAAAGTTCTTATGTATCTAGAATTCTTTATTGTTGTACTTCAAGTACCTCGCCTAACCTCTTTATTTCAAATTGACAACGGGACTCTTAAAATCCAGTTTTGAATCTTCTCAAAATTTATAAGGAAACTAGAATTGTTAATATCGGACAGAAATCTGTCCATTTCAAGTCCTTCAGTCCAAACGTAACCAAAATGAATTGCTATTATATACAAGCAAAAATGAGAGAACACTTTGATTGATATTTATTTCAATATTTATGGTTCATCGGTGACCGTGTCTTAAAGAACTAACAACTATTTCTCTACAGGCTGATAATGTCGGTGGTCCGCAGGAGCAGGTAATCTTTTAGACATCAGTCACACTAAAGCCCCTCGATATATTTTGGAATCTTGTAAAATGACGTGGTTGTCATTTTTTCAGGTTTTTGTCAGAAAAGTTATTGAGCTACATGACAAGTATATGGCCTATGTGAATGATTGTTTTGCAAACCACTCTCTCTTTCACAAGGTTGGTGTTGACAGTTGTTTGTTAGTGTGGCTCCTAGGTTATTTTCTGGCTGAAGCTTACTTTTATGGTTCTCTTCTGTAGGCCTTGAAAGAGGCTTTTGAGGTATTTTGCAACAAGGTTGTTGCAGGGTGCTCAAGTGCCGAGCTGCTGGCTTCATATTGTGATAATATCCTTAAGAAGGGCGGGAGTGAGAAATTGAGTGATGAAGCCATTGAGGAAACACTAGATAAGGTTGCCTCAGTTTTGCCTGTCATATCAAATTCCATTGTTTCAGCTTGTCATCTTGTTATTAGGTATTGATCTGAACTGTTGATGTTTGCAGGTGGTCAAGCTCCTTGCATATATCAGCGACAAAGACCTTTTTGCTGAATTTTACAGGTAATATATTGAACATGTGTAATGCACATTGGTACATTCATATATAAAATGTATATTAGTGTTTGATTCTTGCATGTTTTAGCTGATAAGGCAATAATTGGTTCGGCAAGTATTTATATTTTGTTACTGCTGGTAGGAAAAAGCTCTCACGACGACTGCTTTTTGACAAGAGTGCTAATGAAGATCATGAAAGACTTATCCTGACAAAATTAAAGCAGCAGTGTGGTGGACAGTTTACATCAAAGATGGAGGGGATGGTGAGTTCGGCGGGGCATTATTTCAAAATGTTTTTCTATTTTCCTATGTAATGGGAATTATAATCAACAGTGTGTTATTTAATTCTTCAAGGTCACAGATTTGACGTTAGCGAAGGATAACCAGAACAACTTTCAGGACTATCTTAGCAACAACCCAATTGCCAATCNACCCCCCCCCCCCCCTTCTTTCTCCAAAAGAAAAAAAAAAAAGAATAAAAACAGTAATACATAGTAAAGGCCGATTAGATTAATTAATTGCAAGTGAAGAGATATGGGAGTCAAATATCTTGAATCACAAACATGTAAAAGGATTGGTGATCACTGTCCACTGGAGTTGGATTAGGGAAGATTAGGGGAAAGATTGGAGTTACGAGATTCCATCTAGCTAAAGTTCTTATGTATCTAGAATTCTTTATTGTTGTACTTCAAGTACCTCGCCTAACCTCTTTATTTCAAATTGACAACGGGACTCTTAAAATCCAGTTTTGAATCTTCTCAAAATTTATAAGGAAACTAGAATTGTTAATATCGGACAGAAATCTGTCCATTTCAAGTCCTTCAGTCCAAACGTAACCAAAATGAATTGCTATTATATACAAGCAAAAATGAGAGAACACTTTGATTGATATTTATTTCAATATTTATGGTTCATCGGTGACCGTGTCTTAAAGAACTAACAACTATTTCTCTACAGGCTGATAATGTCGGTGGTCCGCAGGAGCAGGTAATCTTTTAGACATCAGTCACACTAAAGCCCCTCGATATATTTTGGAATCTTGTAAAATGACGTGGTTGTCATTTTTTCAGGTTTTTGTCAGAAAAGTTATTGAGCTACATGACAAGTATATGGCCTATGTGAATGATTGTTTTGCAAACCACTCTCTCTTTCACAAGGTTGGTGTTGACAGTTGTTTGTTAGTGTGGCTCCTAGGTTATTTTCTGGCTGAAGCTTACTTTTATGGTTCTCTTCTGTAGGCCTTGAAAGAGGCTTTTGAGGTATTTTGCAACAAGGTTGTTGCAGGGTGCTCAAGTGCCGAGCTGCTGGCTTCATATTGTGATAATATCCTTAAGAAGGGCGGGAGTGAGAAATTGAGTGATGAAGCCATTGAGGAAACACTAGATAAGGTTGCCTCAGTTTTGCCTGTCATATCAAATTCCATTGTTTCAGCTTGTCATCTTGTTATTAGGTATTGATCTGAACTGTTGATGTTTGCAGGTGGTCAAGCTCCTTGCATATATCAGCGACAAAGACCTTTTTGCTGAATTTTACAGGTAATATATTGAACATGTGTAATGCACATTGGTACATTCATATATAAAATGTATATTAGTGTTTGATTCTTGCATGTTTTAGCTGATAAGGCAATAATTGGTTCGGCAAGTATTTATATTTTGTTACTGCTGGTAGGAAAAAGCTCTCACGACGACTGCTTTTTGACAAGAGTGCTAATGAAGATCATGAAAGACTTATCCTGACAAAATTAAAGCAGCAGTGTGGTGGACAGTTTACATCAAAGATGGAGGGGATGGTGAGTTCGGCGGGGCATTATTTCAAAATGTTTTTCTATTTTCCTATGTAATGGGAATTATAATCAACAGTGTGTTATTTAATTCTTCAAGGTCACAGATTTGACGTTAGCGAAGGATAACCAGAACAACTTTCAGGACTATCTTAGCAACAACCCAATTGCCAATCCTGGGATTGATTTGACTGTTACTGTTCTCACGACTGGATTCTGGCCGAGTTATAAATCCTCTGATCTCAGCCTTCCTGCAGAGATGGTAGAGTTTGCTTGTTTCTACTATGGCAGAAACGTGGTATTGATGAAAACAGAGAGCACTAAATCCTGTTAACTTTCTGTTTCAGGTGAAGTGTGTGGAAGTTTTCAAGGAATTTTATCAAACAAAAACAAAACATAGAAAACTTACATGGATATACTCGCTGGGGACTTGCAACATAAATAGCAAATTTGACCAAAAACCTATAGAACTGATTGTGGGAACCTATCAGGCAAGTTATCTGTAGACTTTGCATTACTTACAGATTGACATCTCATTCTGGATGTGGAACTCTGAATTTGACTTGTACATTTTTTTCAGGCGGCAGCCCTTCTTCTATTCAATGCTTCAGATAGACTGAGTTACTCAGATATCAAGACTCAGTTAAACTTGGCTGATGAAGATTTAGTTAGATTGCTCCAGTCTCTCTCATGCGCCAAGTACAAGATTCTGATTAAGGAGCCCAACACTAGAACTGTTTCTCCAACTGACAATTTTGAGTTTAATTCCAAGTTCACTGACAGGATGAGGAGGATTAGGGTTAGAGATTGTCTAGCACCCTTTCCTTTACTTCCCTTCCCCCTGTTGTTGCACTTTGTTCAGAAATGACTGACTTTCTTATTCGCAACCAGATTCCTCTCCCACCGGTGGATGAAAGGAAGAAGGTAGTCGAAGATGTTGACAAGGACAGACGTTATGCTATTGATGCCTCGATTGTGCGCATAATGAAGAGTCGGAAAGTTCTGGGTCATCAACAGCTAGTTATGGAGTGTGTTGAGCAGCTAAGCCGCATGTTCAAGGTATGAGTTAAAGTCTATGAATAATGCCTACTTGTTTTGTGCATTAGTTAAGGGCTACAAGTTTAAAGAATTGTGGGTAGTGTGCGAGGGTGAGGAGTTGTATGTTTACAGTTTGGACTTTGCTGATGATCAGATCTTTTGATTTTTGTAAGCTGTCCTCTGTACATGATTATCAATTGAAGTTTCAATGGGATTTTTTCCCTTTTTTGGGGGGGTTGGTGGTGGGTTTTTTTTTGGGGTGGGGTGGGATAAGGGCTTATATGTTTTTTGTCGGTCAGATCTTCTGGTTTTTGGAGAATTTGCTGTGTGAAAATTATCAATAATCAATTGACTGCAATTGTGCAGCCTGATTTTAAGGCAATCAAGAAGCGGATTGAAGATTTGATAACACGGGATTATTTGGAAAGAGACAAGGAGAATCCAAACTTGTTCAAGTACTTGGCCTGATGAGGCATACTAGTAGATCTTCAACTCCAAGCGATGGCATCTACATGAAGTGAAATGTACTACGAACTGCCATGTTTCATGTTTTTAGTTTGGTGGCGTCTTCAAGCTGGTGGTCGGGGTTTGGAGGTGCCTACTCCAATTCTTTTACTTATACCTTTATATAGCCAGTTTTGTGCAGTTAACTAATATCATTACCTTTATTTTAAGGGCATTAGAAAGTTGATTGCTAGCTGCATTATGGCACTATGGCCATGCTACATCTTCAAACTTAATTTACCGCAATGCCCGACTTTCTTGCCTCCTCCTTATTGATATTAATTGCTTAAGATTTTAGAAAAAAGAATTTGCAATTTACCATTTTGTACTTACTTTCATCTCTCCGATTATTGCTGCTGCCAAGAATTATTTTATCATTTGCCTTTATTTCTCTTGTGATAAAATATGGCAGCATGGTTCCGAGTGCATAATGTTACTATACAAATATAGAATGACAAGAAGACTGCACAGGTTATATGACACTGATGATCCCTCGCTAAAAGTGTTCATTGGTGACCTAGTGTGTCCTTTCTGGGCAGGAAACTTTTTGTCCATGGGATAAGACATCCTCTAGAACCGCAGGAATAATAACATTTTTGGCAATTTAATCGAGTTTTTGGACAAGCCATCTATCAAAGATAGATAATGACGGTGAAACACCGTGGTGCAGTTGTCCGGCATTGAAATATTTAGAATCTGGATAACAATCCTTCATTCTTTTTGTTTTCGGTTAGAGTTGTTAATTGAGATGAGTTACTCAAGTTGAGTGCCATAACTTTAGAATTGATCACTCAAGTGCAAGTTGTGCGAAGTAATAAATTTCTTGAGAGTCCGAGATCGAACCACAGGGAATTGAAAAAACAAGAGACACAAAACAAATAAAAAGTAAACTTGTAAGAATAATTTATGTAAGAGATTGTTGAGTTGAGAAAATATTGATCAGAATAATTAAAATAATATAATAAAAATATTAGAGCATTAGGTACTCCCTCTTAATTTCATACAATAATGATTAAGGACTCAAAACTTAACTTGGAATAAGAATTAGATGTCGGTTGATTTGAATAACAAATCAAGTAAAAAAATTAAAAATTATAATCAAAAGATTATTTAGGAACCTGAATAATCATTCAATTATATTATTTTATGAAATAATGATAATTACCTCAAGCATGGAATAACCAGTTATTAAATCGCAGGAAAATTTAAGCAATCGATATACATGACACAACAACTCAAAGATTTTTACAGAGCAAAAATTTTCCTATAAGATCAGAAGTTAAATTAACAAAATATCATAAATCATTAAATTCAAAATCAATAACATTACCGTACTTCATTGAGAGATTCTCCCCTAACTCTAGCTTAGCCTTTTAGCCAGACATGACAAACTAAAACTAGAAAAAAAAAGATGAGAATAAGAATTATCTAATAAATCCTAGATGAAAACCCCTATTTATACTAAAAATAAATCCGAAGTATAGGTAGAAGATATAAGGTTAACTTGGAAGAAATTCTTTTCCAAAAAGAAATCTTGCAAGGTTAAATTCCGTGAATAAAATCTTTGGGGCGCGGATACAAAATATGTTCAGACTTCAAGTTTAGATTTCGCATATTTAGAAGTTGAATCACAAAAATTTCGTGAAATACACTTTTGAAGCTCTCGAAGTCTTCTTTTCAATCCTCAAAAATCAAGTAAATCAAAAATCAGAGTCAAAAGTTATAACCAGAATATTGAAAACATGTCAAATCCTTATTCTTCTAAGATACTTTCCTAATCCAACTTTAAATGAATTTTCTTCCATCTTGGACTCTTATAAAGATTAAATTGCTGTCATATCTTCAAGTCTTTCTATTCAATCTTGACTCTTCAATCCTTATCAATTGCGATTCTTCATCTAGTGATTGATTCACTTGCATTATCCATTATTACTTTAAATCAACCAATTTACCTGCAAAATAAACCAAACAACTAGAAAAAATATCAAACTAAAAAATCAAGAAATTCAACACATTTAATCACAAATAATATGCAATTAACTAATTATTAAATATAATAAAATAACAATTTTAATGATTAATCATTGAACTCGAGTTTTATTTGACTTGAATAAACCTGACTCGAGCTTAACTTATGTTATAAATGAGTTGAGTTTAAAGTTACGTAAAATAGTAAAGTTTTTCGTGTTCAAATTTAGATTCCAAATAAGCCGAATTTAAACAAAATTTTAAGCTCATTTAAAAAACAACTCGACAAGTTTGGATTCAATCTTGTAAAGTTCTACTTGATTAACACCCCTAATTACAATCAAGGGTATAGTGATCATAATACAAAATATAACAATGCTTTAGATTGTTTAAATTCAACAATTTATATTACGATTTACCTTTCAATCTTTTACCCACCATAAATTTGTTTATTTATATTGAATCTTTCAACCTCAATGAATGTCATAACCATACATACCATTTAACAACAATCGAATTATTTTAATCAAATATTTTAACCACAAAAACAAAATGCTTTGAATGGGTACGTACTATTTACCCTAACTCTATTTTGAGAAGTCCCTTTGGATTCGAAGGAGGCGAAAAGGAAGTAGGAGAACCGAAGATACGAGGCATTTCTCTCGTGTGTGTGTGTGTGTGTGTATACCATTAACCGAGATTTATAATTTTATTACAGCAAGTCTGAAACAAATGTCTGAGATACACAGATCAACTCTTCAGTTGCCTGCGATATACCCTACTTGTTAAAAGACAACAAAAAATAAACAAATGAGGGCAAAATTGAACAAATCATTCTTGCAGGCTATTTATTCGTCAGCTGCTGCTGCTAATACGCCTGACCAGTTTACCTGCAAAGCAAAAACCCAGTTCTGTCAGCACGAAATGGTCAAAACAGCGCAAAGCGCCACAAAATACCCGACAGTCCAGCGGTCAATCCCTTGTATTCAATGTTATGAAATGCAAAATGCAAATCCCACTCCGTTCACATTGCGGGGATTAAGAAGATGACAAGATCCCTTCAGTTCGTGTGTAAACATTAAGCAATCAATCAATTCAAACGCAGAATTAAGCCGCAAAAAGGGGTCCTGGCAGTTTGCAGTTATGCTTATTATAGTGTTTTTTTTTTACACTAAATGCAAATTCATGGAGAATAAGAGTAAATCGACAACACAAAAAAAGAAGCTTAGAATTTGTAGCTAGTTCAGTAAATTAGCGAGCAACCAACCATACCTGCTGTCGTTACTACATCAGAAAAAAGGCAACTCTGCTACTATTGGATGAACTCTGATTGATTATTTCTCTATTTACAGAAATAGCCACTGCAACCAAAAGCAAAGGAATAGTCGGGGATGAGCATATATCTTCAAGAGTGGACAATACAGATTCCAACATAACTTTACATGTCATAAATTTTAAGTACCTTAGCAATAGGATAACTTAAGCAACCTATCAATAGGTAGCATACCACATTCTTTAGCACTTCATGTACTTTTCTCCTTCCTGTTCTGTACGTGTCAATATCGGCAACAAAAAGCCAACTATCTCAACTGCAAAAGCATAATAACTGTACAATACAACCTGCACTAGTGAAAGAAAAAAAAAACAAAATAAATAAAAGCTGAAGGGAGAATTGCAAGCTTGATAAATGGTGAAACAGAAAATAATTTACCAGACTGCCATTTCTACGCCCTGCTCACATTTTGGTCGGGGACTACGGAGGTCATTAGGATCATTGTAGGCAAAAATAAACTCAGACAATCTCATTGTTTGCTGGCATCTCCCCCATCATTTGTTTTTCCCGAATAAAGGCTAAGATCACAAATTCACAAGGAAGGCCGACCAAGCTTTTGTGTGAAAGAACAACAGAATGATGAACCAAGGTCCAATCTATGTTTGACCATGTAGCCACACTTCATATAAAGTGATGTAAATCATTTCCGCCAAGTCTAAAACCAATTTCATCAGTTCCTGTCGTATGTAGGGGCAGTTAGCGTGTCAGAAAGCAGCAAAAGTCACATCAACTATAACTGTACAGGATAACAAGGGCACTGAACTGGTAAATATCATCTCCTCGAGATGAATAATGTGAGCATCCGTGAGACCCACATCTTTTCACTTCCTCCTTGAATGACTGGAAGTTGAAGGGAACACAAAAGAAAAGTTTTCTTCCCAGAATTGGCATAACTTGAATTACGACTGGAACTTCAATGGCTAATGACTTCCATAGCAAGTCGTACCAGACGCAGTAATCCCTCAACATCTTGGAAATTGAAATCAAGAGCCCTTTTAACGGAGGAGATGCCCTCTTTATACTGGGCCTCTTGCATTCTAGACTTTGCAGTTGCAAAAGAAATTAGTGATTTCCTGGAGGCTTCCATTGCAAAATTGACGTCCTGCGTCTGCAGATAATCCATTTTAGATGCTACCGAAAACAGAAAAATAATATGGAAACTTGATTTTATGTGCCAGAGGCAATGTGAAAATGGTGGAATATGAATTGCAATTCGCAAGCATGCCAATATGTGACATCCTTTTCCTGCGCACAAGAACAACCCCTCCCCCATCCCCCTCAACCCAAAAAAAAAAAAACCAAAAAAGGTAAAGAATGAATACAGCTTCCTCCAGAAACCTTAATTGATGAACTGAGTTTCTATATATATACTTACAAAGTTGAGAAGCCGTACAAAGCTGGCACGGTTTTGTGCAGCAATGACATGATTTCCAGCAACTGGAGGAGAAGTAACACCCTTGGCTGCAGCAACCTTGTCCACAGTTCCTGGGTTCAAGTTATCAATATCGGACGCGGAGGAAGAAGGAGACTCACCTAACAAATTGACAATAGAAGCCATCTGAGATCAATATGATGAGAGCCTGTAGAAGCCTAGCATCCCATCTAACACCAGCGGAAGGATTTCATAAATGTGATCGGTTGCCAAAATAAAAGACAGTAATCCACTTACCAAGAAGAAAACAAAGCCGTATATCAAACAAATGAAAAGGGGGAAAAAAGACACTTCAGAGAGAGAGAGAGAGAGAGAATAGTAACCATTTTCTTCATATGCTCAACTATTCTTTCTTGAGAATCAGTCCTGCCATCAAGGCATTTTTTTAGGGTTTAGGGAAATAAAAAAATTACCTCTTTCCTCACTTCCTAGCCATTGTGGGGAAAAAATTGTGCTTAATTTATATCTACAACTTTGTACCGGGAAGGAGACGCCTAAAAAAATCTTGTGTAAGGCAATAAACTTTGCTCCAGTACCGGTTATTCAAATAATTATGGTAATTCAATAACGCAAGCATGATTTCTGAATGAATTAGGATTCTGCCCATTAATTTACAAACTCTCTCTCTTATGTCGATTCATGAAAGTGGTGGATGGGTGTAAATAATGGACCATCAACTAAGTGGTACAAATCGTTCCCTTTCCAAAGTTCAAATTTTAATATTCAGCATTGCTGTGAAAGTAGAAAGAGAAAATATTGTCATAAATTATAAGAAACCCTATTTTGCCAGCTTTACAAGTGTAGGACATGACCACATTGACAGGTTAGTTTTAGCCCAATAGGAAATGTCTTTGTATGAAGGTTTTCCTTTTAATACTTACCAGTGATACAATCTATAATTGATTTTCCTACCATCATAGCCAGTGAAAGAAAAATGTTTATTTGATGATCAGAATCAGAGGCATGCCTAAACCTCAAAAGCACAGAGGTCTTTCAACTCTAGATTCCTATTAAATTAAGTGAATGAGTTCCAAATTTAAAGAAGCTAATATCATTTTTTTTTTTTGGTACTTTCTCCAGATACATAGAATCACCTGGAGGAACTGTTTGTAGAGCTGTTTGCAACTCATGCCGATCCCTGCTAGCAATGGTATGTGAGGAATAAATTACTCTCATATAGGCCACCTCCATGCATTTGTAGGCCAGAGCTGCAGCAGCCATATCTTTGGATTTCTCATATTCATGGGCACAAAACCTATGAACAAGAAGGATATTAAAAAAAAAGAAGGAAGCTACATACGCCTTTTCTCATTTCACCAAGAACAGTAGTCCACCATCCACAAACATACCAAGTGCATCAAAACACGAGAAACCAAGGAACATGTATCAACAATTCATCAGTCAAAACCAGACATTTAATCCATCTTTTTGGAATATCAAAATAAAATATGAGACAATTGAAAATAATGCATAAGAAGGAAAAAGAAGCTGGATGCACCAAAAAATGGATGCCTGTTGTATTTCAAGAGCAGCCAATATTTGGCAATTAATTTCCATCATTTACTTTAAAATATAAGTGCCAAGTTTTCAAAACATACGGTTGAAAGATGTGACTAAATCTTTTCGTTTTCTAAAAAAATCAAAAAATTATTTTGTTAAGAGATACTACTAGTCCACTTAAAAAGTTAATCTTCACGATGCAAGCATGGCTTCTTTTAAAAAGTGGTAAAACCAGGACCGGGTTGGGGAAGAACTGGAATAGGCAGTATAGTAATTCTGGGTTTTGGTACGGAAAGGAGTAACAAAGCCGAATTTGCAGCGGCTAGTTTCCACACTTCATACACGCATGGATAGACACATATACTTCATACTTAATACACCTTTGTGAGGTGGTAATTAAGTACAAACTCCCCCTTCTAAAACCACATCAAAAGATGCAAAAGACAAGGCCTATGCCTCAAAAAGAAAAAGGGCTATGGTAGAGGACCTCAAACATTACTTACTCGCAGAGTTTTGCGGTGCTACTATACATTTGGATCGACTGAATCATCTCACCATGCTTGGTACTCTCACTGTTGCAAGATTCCAATAAAGAAGCTCCATGGAGAAACTTGAGTGCTGCTTGAAAATAAAGACCTGTACTTTCAACGTTTGATCCAGAATTCTGCAAAAGAGAGCCGAGTTGAAATAAGAGTCAAAAAAATGTATACTATCAACTTCATATCAATATAGAAACACTGCTTAAAAACCTTAAGACGATCAGCTAGATGTTTAAGATCCTTCGCCTCTTTTACAGCATTAGTAGCTCCCTGACTAGAGAAATCTCTTCGAAGAGGACTTGGGGCATCAAGATCCCTGACCTTGTTCCCATTGGGTGTGGTANGTAGAGCTGTTTGCAACTCATGCCGATCCCTGCTAGCAATGGTATGTGAGGAATAAATTACTCTCATATAGGCCACCTCCATGCATTTGTAGGCCAGAGCTGCAGCAGCCATATCTTTGGATTTCTCATATTCATGGGCACAAAACCTATGAACAAGAAGGATATTAAAAAAAAAGAAGGAAGCTACATACGCCTTTTCTCATTTCACCAAGAACAGTAGTCCACCATCCACAAACATACCAAGTGCATCAAAACACGAGAAACCAAGGAACATGTATCAACAATTCATCAGTCAAAACCAGACATTTAATCCATCTTTTTGGAATATCAAAATAAAATATGAGACAATTGAAAATAATGCATAAGAAGGAAAAAGAAGCTGGATGCACCAAAAAATGGATGCCTGTTGTATTTCAAGAGCAGCCAATATTTGGCAATTAATTTCCATCATTTACTTTAAAATATAAGTGCCAAGTTTTCAAAACATACGGTTGAAAGATGTGACTAAATCTTTTCGTTTTCTAAAAAAATCAAAAAATTATTTTGTTAAGAGATACTACTAGTCCACTTAAAAAGTTAATCTTCACGATGCAAGCATGGCTTCTTTTAAAAAGTGGTAAAACCAGGACCGGGTTGGGGAAGAACTGGAATAGGCAGTATAGTAATTCTGGGTTTTGGTACGGAAAGGAGTAACAAAGCCGAATTTGCAGCGGCTAGTTTCCACACTTCATACACGCATGGATAGACACATATACTTCATACTTAATACACCTTTGTGAGGTGGTAATTAAGTACAAACTCCCCCTTCTAAAACCACATCAAAAGATGCAAAAGACAAGGCCTATGCCTCAAAAAGAAAAAGGGCTATGGTAGAGGACCTCAAACATTACTTACTCGCAGAGTTTTGCGGTGCTACTATACATTTGGATCGACTGAATCATCTCACCATGCTTGGTACTCTCACTGTTGCAAGATTCCAATAAAGAAGCTCCATGGAGAAACTTGAGTGCTGCTTGAAAATAAAGACCTGTACTTTCAACGTTTGATCCAGAATTCTGCAAAAGAGAGCCGAGTTGAAATAAGAGTCAAAAAAATGTATACTATCAACTTCATATCAATATAGAAACACTGCTTAAAAACCTTAAGACGATCAGCTAGATGTTTAAGATCCTTCGCCTCTTTTACAGCATTAGTAGCTCCCTGACTAGAGAAATCTCTTCGAAGAGGACTTGGGGCATCAAGATCCCTGACCTTGTTCCCATTGGGTGTGGTATTCCGTGAATTACTGGGATGGATTCCATTCTGGTTCTCAGCTTTCTTAATCTGTTTTGGTGCCTTCAATGCATCATCACCTTCAGAAGCATGAACAGACAAAACAATTGTGCCATTTTCTTTCTGAGATCCAGGAATTGGTTGAGGACAACGTTTCACGGTCTCAATTTGACCTCTACCAGAAGGTGGCAATGAGTGTGACTTCCCTCCCCCAGAGACTAACAACTGTCCTGTTTGATCAGAAGGGAACCTCTTTGAAGATCTTTCACTATCATGGTCAAACAGATTCTGCTTAAGATCCTGGCTGACAATAACATTTGAACCAACATGCCCTCCAAATTCTGACTGATTCTGTCTTTTATCGCCCCCACTAAACAGTTTTCCAGTAGAATCTTTCTTAGAGATCAAATTCTTTTCAATCTTATCTGAACCAGTCCCAAATTTCTCTGGACACTTGTTTCTTTCATCCTTCAATTTTTCCTCATGGGAGGGTATGTTATCTATATATTCATTAGAAGATTTAGAAGTCTTGACCTTACCCTTGTCAAACTGAGATCTGAAACCTCGACTCTTGTCTTTTGACCGTGAAGAAGAACCCTTCGCCGACTTTCTTGAACGAGACCCATTAGCATGATAGTGATTGCCATTCCCCATCTCTTCATTGCGGCATTGATCTGAATTCTGTGGCTTGCTACCGTATTGAGTAGCTTGGCTGAAGGTATCGGGATCACCGTTAGAAATATGGTGAGTTGCAAATTCAGGAGAAAATACAATTTCTGTCTTAGCTTTACTAACTGATGCACAACTAAAATCCCTGTTATGAAAATCAAGCACAGAGGACCCTAGGGACCCACAATGGATGGCAGTGAAAGTTTCAGCCTTCCTGACAATTCCTGATCCATTTCCCCCCTCATTTTCTCCATGTGAACATCTTGGACTAGCAGTGGCAAAAAACCCAGCATCCCGAGAATCATCTTTTCCCTCCAGATTTCCTCTTGAGGATGTAAATTTATCTAGTTTCAACATTCTCAGAGGAGATGAAGAAACTGATTCTACAGGTGAGCCCTTCACTTCATGGAGATTGGCCTTCTTTTTATGAGAGCCAGAAACTTTAGAAGAGCTTGAAGTGGCAGCTGATTCCAGGTCCCTTTTATAGGACCCCAGTTGTTGGTCCTTCATCCTTCTACCCTTTTTGTCTGTTTTACCAGTGCCTTTGCTTATGCTGGTTTCTTTCCCCTCAGACTTGGATACCCTTGCTTTCTTGTCCTTCCTATGGTCATTTTCATTGGTTCCTTCCATAAAATCCCTGCTGTCCTGGAGATGATGCCCTGCAATAGTCGTTTCCTGACATTCATTTACTTTTCTCTTCTTCAATGCATCTTTGCCATTATATTTTCCCACATGCAGAGAACCCTCATCCGATGCCATCTGAATTTGGTCTTCTGGATTTGTTACAGAAAGTAGTAAGTTTTCATCTGCACCACTCTTTGAGGCCTTAGAATGGTCATTATACTTGTGCTGATCCTTCAACGACACATTAAATAACAAACCACTGCTTAAGCCGCGACCCCCCTTCGAAACATCTCCACCACTATCTTTTTTGACTTTCTTAGAAGTTTCAAAACAATCTTTCTCAGTCTCCCTCTTGTTTCTATTCTTTGAGTTCTTTGAATTACCTGGGACAAGTAATATCAAGGGAAGAAATCAAATATATCAAAACAAAGGAGTTTGAAGAGTGCAATGAAAGGTCCATCTCAAAAACAATACCTCCATCAGAATAGTTTTCAAGTTGTTTATTTTTCCCTTTCTGCTTCTGTCTTTGTCCCTCCAAGCTACTAGACTGGCCCAAATGCTGAGAGCCAAATTCATTCAAAAGAGGAGAGAGGGTCACACCGTTTAAGCTTCGACTTTCAACAGAATCTTGAAGGATCTTCTTCGTGGAGTTTGAACACTCTGTGGTGCCATCTCTGATAGTTGATTTCGTTACATCTTTTAATCCATGTTTCTTCTTTCCACCAGTGGGCAAAGAATCTAAACCAAGATTTTGGTGGCTCTGGTCAAAATTCCGAGCATCAGCCCAGGATGCTCCTGATAAAACCCCGGCAGGATGAGCTTGCTGAGTAATTTGATTCTCAGAAGCAGAAGCAGGGACTTGGTGAAGGCCGATTACAGCCTTTGTTGTCTCTTCTTCACTCACATTACAACGGTTCTTTCCAGGCCTAGAGACATTTAAATCAGTAAAGAAGATCAAGCTCTATGCATGAGAGAGGCGCTGCAGACTATGTATAATTATTACCACAGAAGGCATATTACAATTTATCATTAGGATAGTAATTTAACACTCTTCAATCGAGGTAGCTTGATTCATAAGTTACTAACTATCACCAGTAGCAAAGCGCAAAATGTTAATTTGATATTACTTACAGCCAGTTAAGCATGCTACACAGCCACTTCTCGGGAAGGCTGTCAGGATTTGTACCAAGAGGAAGAAGCCTCCATTTCTGGCACTTGTCACAACAGACCCAATCTTCATTGACCAGAGGAGCCCCCGTTGCAGGAGCTGAATCAGCAATGGGCCCATTTCCGGTGAGAGGAGCCACATTTGAAGCTTCTTTTGGACACACCTCTGATGTAGATGGTTTGCTAATTTTTTCACCATTTAGTCTATCTTTTGAAGTGCTGTTAAATTCAACTCTGCTTTTCTCAACCACCTCAGAGTGCTTCAGCCTGTCTGATGAAGACATTTCCTCCAAAGCCATCTCATTATCTCCCTGTTCTAATTCTAGGTCCCCAAAGAAAACTTTATATCTGTCACTGGACTTTCGGTAATCTTTTCTGAGATATTCCAGTTCACTTTTAGAAAAGTAAGCATCAGTATGAGTGCTCTTCCTATTCTTGTGCACTAATGAAGCACCAATCCTCAAATCATTTTTTGGAACCTCGGCACCTTCAGCACCATGACCCAGACTTCCTTTTGATTTCTTTTTACCCCCAGAAGATGACTGCTCCTTTCCAGGAGTCAGTTTCATAACATTCTCTTCACGAACTATATCTTTTTGACCAGCCTTCTGTTTTTGAGGATCAATGAGTTCACTGTTTTGAGATTTTCTCCTCTTAGAGATATTTGAGTCAGCTTTAACTGATATATCACTTTTTTCTGCTTTGGGATTGCCTTCTTTCCTAGGGTGAACTGAATCATCATTCTGAAAACTTGCCTTCTTATTTTGCAAATTCTTTCCATCTGCATTAACCTTTCCATTGAACTTCTCAGGCAGGTTAATCTCTTGGGTAGATACTGGTTCCAAGGGTTTTTCTTCTGCTAGATCAAAAAAGGATTTGTCAGTCAACCCTCCTCTATTGGCTACCCTTGAGATATCAATGGCCCTAGCAGTACCTTTTCCAAAGTCAACACCATTACAATATGAACTGTATAGAAGCGGAATATTTGCATTAGAAGCAAGTTCCTCACAATCCAATTTGTCGGTTTCTGCTTCCTTCTTTAGCGGAACATCAACAGCATTTCGAGTATCATTAACACTGCTGTTCTTCAATTCCATTGAGCTGGCATTTTTGTCAAATGATTTTGATTTTTTATCTCCTGAAACTCTTCGATCGCTGCTTGCAGAATCTGAACTATTCACCAAGATCACAGAATTTTGTTGGCTTCCCTTGTGCACAAATCCAGATCTACTCTCCCCCTGAAGTTTTCCCATTTTAGTCAATTCAATGAGATCATCAGGAAGAGGGGACAACAGCAGGCCCCCAAGAACTGGAAATGATGTCATAATCTGGTCAGAACCATTGAACAAAATCTGGTCACTTTAGGTCAATTGCAAAAACATATGGAATATAAAAAATGATGCAGGGAGATCATTTACCTGAAGTATAGTAGAAGGAGATTCATCTGGGTCATTTCGAGGCTCATGTGCCAACCCTTCAGTATCTATGGGGCTACCATCCAACGAAGAAGATGGAGATATATCAAGGCCAAGTCCACTATAGATTTCGGCATTTTTTCTCGTGGGAAAATTATCAGAACACATTTTGATTCGAAACTTGAGAGTTTTCTGGTCAGAAGGGTTAGCAGATTTGTTGACAGGTTCACATTTTGCAATAACATTTACAGAAGCCGGTCCATGTGTTGCCGATACAGATCCAGTTGATGAAACAACAGAGTTATGGCGAACACCCTGTATATTAACACAATCAAAGTGCTCTTGTAAATTAGAATTTTCATGTCAACCAAGACCAGGCCTACTTCTTCCTTCATGGAAAGAGTAGTTGATGAAAAAACATATGGATCAAATTATAACCACCTACCTCCAGTTGCAAAATATTTGGGGATCTGGGTGCTTTGTGGATATGAACTTTCGGCGAAGTCCCTGGATTAGACCAGACAGGCGACCGCTGATACGCAGGTAAAAATGAACCATACCCTCCAAATTTTGCCCCTGTCAAAATGTGCAGACCTCAGCTCATCACAGAAAATTTAACATTACATAAATGCGGCTCTTTGAGTTCTCAAGATCGGCAGGTCCGTTGGTTTGACTTACCCAAATTCTCAGCTGAAACTCCACCTTCAAAATCTTTTTGGAAATGTCCTAAAACATCTTGAAGCTTCTCATCCTGGAAATAATACAGTGGTATATATGTAAGAGATACTATGCAGAACATCCAGCAAAGACAACAGCTGACAAGTATCACAAATTCACCATTTTAATCCACAAATATCGGTATTTACCAAAATCAGTATTGAACATTCTTAGGGAAATCACAATTCCAAGCACAGCTAACAAGTAGCTTCATTAAAGTGTTTCTCCTTATCAATTTCATTATTTAGCTTCTTGTAACCATAACTACTTGTATTCGGGCCAAAACTATTATTAGCATACAAAACATAAAATTTCTGAATTAAAAAAATAGACGCATTAGTGTCACTAAAATATTTGAATTAGCTGGCTTGATCTAGACACCACAAACAAGTAAACACCAATATTTAAGAAACCAGATAAATTTAAATATGAATTCCAGGTAAAGTATGAACCAGAAATCAAAAGATCAATACTAGTTGAAGTGTATAATGGAGAAAAAAATCCTTACGAGATAAGAGAGAGCAACATCGAGGTCAATGGTTGAATCATCATCCTTCACATAACTGCAAGCCTCTCCTTCTTCGAGCCCAGTCTCGTCCATCTCTCTTGCAACACGAATACCTAACCCCATCCCCTCCCTCCCATCCCTACTTCCAACAGAAATCATCCGAAAATCCGCAATTCAAAGCCTCTATAAAACCCTCAAACACCAATCACTTTCTGCACAATTACGCGCAGAACACCAAAAAAAAACCCCTTCAACCGATTTCAGAAAATCGAAAACTCGGTAGAACCGACAAGGAATTCCCCTGAAACATCAAGATCGGATACAAACGCTGATTTCACCTACCAAACAACCCCTTAATAAAATATTCGATAGAAATAACGAATAATACCATGTTAAAAGACTCAGTTTCGCGATCTTTATCCAGAATGAATCGAGTTCTAAATCTTAGAGCTTGGATCGTCTCCTCCGATCTCCGAGGTTCAAAACAATGAGCACAGAGAAAGACGAGATACAGAGAGACTCTGGTTTTGGCGTATAGCAACCGCGTTTTCTGAATTTTCTTTTCTTTTCTTTTATTTTATTTTTGGTTCTTAACAGAAAGAAAATTTTTTTTCAAGTCCACAAAGACGACCGATCGATCTCTATTGTAACCAAAAGACCCAGAAAATAAATTAGTTTTTCTTGGCCTTTTTTTTTTTTAAAATTTTTTTTATTTCATGTTCATCTCTTAAATGGAGTAAATATTCAATACAATAGTGATAACGTGTCGTCACTATTACCGTCCCATTAAAAAATGACAAGTAAATAAAATAAATCGTATTATTTTCATTACTATTCGTAATCAGTAACTACCACATTCAATCATCAACATATAGAATTAATGATATTCACTTTATTTACTTAATTTTTTTAATTAGATAGTGACACTACGTAGAGGTGATAGTATATTCACAATTATATTCAATATTTTTTTCCTAAAAATGGGTATTTTATAGTATTAATTTTATTTTTTTTTGAAATTATTGACCATTACATATTGTTAAAATACAATTAATAATTATTTAAGGTAACTCATGATCAATTATGAAATATTATGATCATTCATTAATAGTGCAAAACAATTGTGTTATAACCTCAAACTTCATCGACCATCGGTTGGGCAGATCTCAAACGTCGACAACTAATATTACTCCCACCATAGTTGTTTGCCGCCTACCACTCCCACCACCGTCACTTAATTTTTTAATATATATTTTGAAAATAAATTAAAAATAGAGATATAGATAAGTATTTTTTAAATTGATAATCCAAATATACTTTTTTGATAAAATATTTTTTATTTGAGTATTTTTTATAATTGAGCATCCAAACAATATTTGTTTAATAAAGTTATTTTTTTATAAAATATTTTTGAAAAATTGTTATTTAAGAATTACTTTTTAAATTTTATAAGTAATAAGTAATTTTAAAAAAATAATTGCTAAAATTATAGTTATGCTCCGTTTGGTAGGGAAGATGGAAAGTTGGAGAGATATACTTTCTATCCTTCAAGAATGAAAAGTAGGAAGGATACACTTTTCTTCTTTTGTATTTGGTTGGATGGATGAAAAATAAAAATATTTTTTTTTTGTACTGCTAAGATTAAGGGTGACAATCGAGTCGTGTCGTGTCAGATTCGTGTTGAGTCATTACGGGTTTGTGTTGAATATTAGTAAAACCTAACTTAACTCATTTAACTAATTGTGTCGTGTCGAATTGCGAGTTGATATGTTTATTTTCGTATCGAGTTTGAGTTGTGTCATCGTGTTGAGTTGAAAATTTTCACCCTTAGTTAAGATGGAAAAAAAAAATTAATTTTTTTAATATATATATATATATATATATATATATATATATATATATATTTTACCATTGTATTTTTATATGAAATTAATGTACACATAATATATGTATATATCAAATGATATATAGACAAATAAGATACATTTCAAGTTTTCAATACAAATAATTAACTTTTCATCCATTTTCCTTCCAATTTTAGAGGGATTGATTTTGGTGAGTTGGGA